GCAAGGAGACAAGAAGACAAGAAGACTAAGATACAGGAAGAGAAGGGAGAAAAGAAGACAACTTGACAACGAAACAAGGACACAAGGCTACTAAGGAGAAAAGAATAATAAGACAAATTGACCAGAGAAAAAAGACAAAGAAACAAGGACACCAGGAGACAACGAGAAGACAACGAGAAGATAAATAGACAAAGAGACAAGGAGACAAAGAGAAGAGGAGCTTAATTAGACATTGGGACAAAAAGACAAGAAGACTACAAGGATAGAAGGAGACAAAAGACACAAAGATACAAAGAGACAAGAATAAAATGTACAAAGTCAAAAGGAAACAAGGAGACAAAGAGACAAGAAGACTGAGATACCGGAAGACAAGGGAGAGAAGAAGACAACTTGAGAAATGAACAAGGACACCAGGAGACAAAGAGAAAAAGAGACAAGGAGACGAGACTTGCCAAACATACAAATAAAGGCAGGAGGAAAAGCAGGAAACGGTAACGTCGCCTACACTGCTACTTATTCCTTCAGCTGAAAACGTTTATTATTCAAGGACTTTTTTTGGAACAGTCTTGCCGTTATTGAATGAATTAGTAGCAGCAACAGAACTCATATAAAGGACATTTACCTACGTGCAAATGTCATTTTTTCGGTTTGCTCATTTCTTAGGAAACGTCTTTGCAGGCTGGGATGCTTCTCAGCAAAAATGATCATCTTTATGAACCCCTTTTGCAAAAGCTTCGATATCTGTGATGTTGTTCCCATTATATGATTGGATGTGAATCTATTAGCATCACCAGTGCAGTATCCCTTTGTAAAGAGGCAGAGGTTTTTAATGCGGGTGTGGACAAAGTAGCAGATGGAGTCTCTGTAGGCAGCCATTGAGAGCACTGAGCTTCAAATGCTGGCCAAATCACAGAGGCACTCAGCATTCTGCGGGAAAGCAGCTCTTTGCCTGCTCCTCTGAGTGCAGGAACAAAGCCCCTCTGTCCCCTCGGCCATCTGATCCCTCAGTCAGGCTGAGACTCTCCCCCATCGGTATTTTACCGCATGTATTACATTCTCAGGAGTCTTTCTTTCTTTGTGTCATGAATGCTCAGTCTTGTGTGTAAATGATTGGCCAACTAAGACGACACCTCATTGTTTAGGAGAGAGAGAGAGAAGTCCAGCATCACAGGTCTAACAGGTTGAATGACTGTTAAATCCCCCCACCCCCCCCCACCTTCGGCAAAAACCCCAACCTGACACTCACCATCGATGGCAGTGGAGTAATATTTGTCCCCACCCTCTCCTTCGAGCCCCACATCCGCCAAGTTGTTAAAATCTAATTTGTCCACCTCCGCAACATTGCTAAACTCCGTCCCTTTCTCACCCGCCCTGCAGCTGAGCGACTCATTCACGCCTTCATCTCCTCCCGCCTTGACTACTGTAACTCACTCCTCTACGGCATCAGCACTACATCCCTCATTAGACTCCAGCCTGTTCAGAACGCAGCCACCAGACTCCTCACCCACACCAAATCATGGCATCACATCACTCCACTGGCTTCCCGTCTCTCACCGCATCCACTACATACTCCTGGTCCTCACTTACAAAGCCATCAACCATCTGCCCCCCCCTACCTCACTGACCTCCTCATCCTCTACCAAACCCCCCGGTAACCTCAGACCCACCTCAGCCGGTTTTGCCAAGGCCAAACTCCGGAGCTTAGGGGACAGAGCCTTCTTCTTATTTTGTTTGTTTGTTTTGACCTGTCTTTGTTTGTCTACCCTCCCCCCGACTGTAAAGCATCTTTGAGTTAGAGAAAAGCGCTATATAAATATAATTTATTATTATTATTATTATTATTATTAAATGACCACAATGAACTTTAGTTTTCCATCTAACTATAACTCTGTTGTTGTAGATCCATGTGCTGCAGCTCCAGTTGTCGGACCCTGTAAAGGCACCTTTCCACGCTGGTACTACGACCACAATGGGGGAGAATGCAAACACTTCCTGTACGGCGGTTGCCAGGGCAACCATAACAATTTCCTCCAGGAATCTGACTGCGTCAGCGAATGTATACAAAAAGGTGAGAATGTGCTTCTTGTGGGTGTTTATGTTTTCTAAATCTAATTTTAAAATGACGTAAAAACAACATGTTAACATCTTTTAGGCCCAGCTTTCAAACCGGCAACTGCAGCTCCACCAATCACCAAACCGACTGAGATAGGTAAAGGCAGAGTGCATTCAATCAAACTTTATTGAAAAATCAGTGTATGTTAGCTATAAAGTCTAAGTTCTATTTACGTCTGAAGGAAGTGACTCGGAAGACATGTTCTACCAAGGAAGCGTCCTCGACTGAAGTCTAAATTCTATTTGTGTTTTTATTTTGTTTTTTTAAGCTGCCCCTAAAGTCTCTCAGAGCCAACCAGAGAGCAGCTTCCCCATCTCCAAACCATTTCCAGCACGAGGAGGGCATCCACCACCTGAGTCAGGTAAAGTTTATATCAGGGAACTTCGTGTTTTATGTGTAGTTCTCTTCCTAATTCCCTATATGCTTCCTCCTGAAGGTGCGATCCTGCCTCTGGCTCTCGGCCTCATCATCACCTCTCTGCTGCTGCTCATGATCGGCTGTCGACTCAGACTCGTTCAACACAAGATTAAGAAAACCCGCCCCCTCACCACAGAGGAGTCGGATTACCTCATCAACGGCATGTACCTGTAGCCAATCAGCAAACACGTGAGATCTGAGAAACAGTGGGTGTTGTTGCCTGAGCCTGGACTTTTTGATTTTGCTCTCCCAACTCTCTTCTGTTTCTGAACCTCCCTGCACAGACTGAACCCTTCTCACTCGGTAAACTGATAGATGCTCCCTTCAAAGCCACATATTCAGATGCTTGTCATTCATACTTACGTCTTAAGAAATATCTGCGATGGAAGAGTCAGCTCGTATATAGATACTGATATACAGCTGTCTGCATTACCCCCAATGACTTCTGGGATATATGCAGTCTTGGGGTGTTTCTCAATGTCAAGGACGCTTCCTTGGTAGGACATGTCTTCCGAGTAACTTCCTTCAGAAGCGAGGCAAGAATCCTTCCTGGCATTCGGAAAACGAAGAGTGGAACAGGCGAGCAAGTGTGCGTCATATGAGAGGCCCCGCCTTACATTTTCCGCCAAATATTTTGGGAAATTGGTCCGTGCACAAAGCATTGTGGGGATTTTAAGACCGCGGAGGATACACATGTGCAGCCTCGAAATGTCTCGCTACGAAGGAGGCCGGGCTCGGCAGAATTCAAAGGAGCTTGGACATTGGAACAGTCCACTCGATGACGTAGCATCCTTGAAATAGTGGCTCTGGAGCATCCTTCCTTGACATTGAGAAACACCCTTGGTCCCCTTTTTGAACATGTATTTTATTCCTCCAAAAATCAGCTGAATATCAAACATATCAACAATGCATTATCCCATCTACTGCTACACACATACATGCTGTATTTCTGCCACTGGATGGCACCAATGTGGCATGTTTGTGGAGAGGATGTTACGTTATTTCACTTGCCAGAAGCCACACATTTAACACATTGGAGTGCTGCCTGATATAGTGCGCTTTTTTGACTGCTTAACAATCAGCCACAACTTTTTCCTTAAGCCATAGCAAGTTGGTCAAAATCCATTCCTTTGTAAGTTTTGTTGTATATTGTTCTTTAAAAAACAATGTGTGTTGGGGAATAATTGGACCTGCATGTCCTCCTTCACCCTCTGACGCAGATGACCAACCTTGAGCTGCATGCTATCTCCCTTAAGGAGGGGCTGCCCTAGCATATTGTTCTTCTTGCCAGTTTGTGACCGGGCAACTGTCGGTCAGAGATAGTTATTGTTGTGGAACACATCCGTCTAGGGGTGTAGATGACCCCGAGCCATAAGCTACAACAACTGTGATTCAGTGTCCTCAGCTGTTTAGTCTATCTATTGAAGAATGTTGATTATTCCACTCTGAACTAGTTAAAACCTGGAGCTACAGGAGGGGTCTTCAGAATTGATTTGGCATCTCAACTGTGTGGTCAGACCGTGGCCCGTGACATGTCTTGTGAATTCTCCGGCCGAAGCTCCAAATAAACCGTCAAGTGTTTGACATCAAAGCTCCAGCTCTCCATCGTCTCTCTGAGTCCTGTCTCCAATTGCTTCAGAAGTTTCCCCCACAATGTGGAGTATATATTATATGTGCGCTTGTGTATTCCCTCAAAGTGCTGTCTTATCATGTGAGATATTAAAGTTTATTATATATCTGTTGACAAAGTAGTTAACAAGAATGAACTTGAACTATTTCTCCATACCTTAGCACATTACTAAAATACAATTCAAGCCAGTGAGGTCATTAGCTGTTTCTTTTATTATTCATGATATATATTTGAACCCCGAGCTTGCAGCCTGCACACACAAAAATAGGCGGACAAAAACATAAGCATCTCTTTATTTTCATGTGCCATTCCAGAAACTGTGAAAGCCAAAACTCATCCCATCACCCAAAATAAAGTGTGCTTTTTGATTTCAAGAACGCAGACATTCATTTGCTTTATATTGTTGGAGTTTCATGTTGGCAAAGCAGTGACTATCCCATGTAGTATCAGCCACCAGGAGAGCCTGCGCAAAATAGCTAAATGTGAAACCAGCGGCACAAAGCAACAGAGGCGTGATGTGCACGGTGTTATGTGTGCACGGCTCTCTTTGGAGTATGTTCAGTACAACCCGATGCTTTTCTTATTCTATAGAATGAGTGCTGCATATGACACAGGAAGTGTTGTTTCTTCGGTCGTTGTGTGTTCCTATAATGCTGTTAGGAGTAAAGCTCGTATGTTAGCAGAGAGGTCTACAGTTTAATGATCCACACACACACACGCTGTTGCTAGGTGGATTATCTTAAAGTTTCCTTGTTGATGTCCGGCGTCCTTCTTACATTCAGCTGCAATGTTATACTGTGAAAAAATAGCTGCTTGCAAATCAAACGTTGAAACCCAAAAAAAATTATAACCAAAATCCAACATACAACCAAAGAAGATGCAGGGCTGAAAAGAAAAAACTAAAAGCCCTCTGCTATATTTCTGTGCCGAGATTCAAGCAGTCCTTTTTTTCCCCCCCAGCCCTCCGTGGGCTCCACGTGAGACTCGTCCGTCGTTAAACAAAAGAAAGTTTTCCTATGCTTTCACTGCCATGGGCTGCTGCACCCCATCCACGTTTCACCAGGTTCAAACTTAAAGGGTGAATTATGGACCGTCTTCCTCTTCAAAGTTCATCCCTAAGAAACAGAAATCCAATGTTAGGAAAGAAGAGCAACATGCAAAGAAACACAGCCAACCTCCATTCATGCTGAGTCAATCGCATGCACAACTTAAACACGACAGTAACATGTGAACAGTTAAAGGGTTTTTTCTACATCTCACAGAGTAGAAGATCAACAACAAAAAAAAAGCTGTTTGGATATGTTTTTTTATGAGCATCCAATTGGACAAAGAAGCCATGCTCTTGAAAACAAAGCTTATGCCTTCACACATTTAATTAGTTTTATGTTTGGGTTTCAAAACAGTGTTTCCGCCAGACCAGGGCTGAGAGGGCGTCCACCCCGAGAGTGGGGGGGGACGTCATGTTGTGTCACGTGACTTGAATTTTGAATTGAGCCGTCCCTTATAGATACTATCTCTTAACGTATAATAATAATAATAAATTTTATTTGTATTGCACTTTACATTTGAAATAAACCTCAAAGTGCTACAGTACATAATATATATATGTATGCACACAAACAATTTTGAATTGAGCCGTCCCTTATAGATACTATCTCTTAACGTATGCACACAAACAATTTTGAATTGCGCCGTGCCTTATACTATCTCTTTACAGGGACACCCCTCCTGGCATGGTCCTTGGAAGATGCGGCTGTGTTTTGTTTTTTTCTTCACAGGAACACGCTTTGCTGGCGGCGAAAATAATCCCACCAGACTCCTTTGCCCCTCCAACAGAGGATGTCCTTGTCCTTTTTCCTTTTCGTTATTTCAAGCGATAGAAACTCTCGATCTTCTCTTAAATTATTATTTTTTTTGGACGCCCTCGACTCGAGTTCAGGGCGTTCCGAGCTGAATAAGAGCGCCAAATGACGGCAAGACGCCCCCCTGGCGGAAACGCTGTTTTGAAAAACAACGTCAAATGCCATTAGTCCGGCAGGTTGTAGTTAACTAATTTAGAACTATGGAATTCAAAAATGATAAAGTAAACGTGCAGCTAGCTGGTATGGCATGGAAGAAGCAAAAATAATGTCAACAAGCAGCAAAACGCAGCCTCTTGTGATCCGTTGCCTGCTCCACGCCACACCGGTTCACCTTTAGCACTGTGAGAAGCAGAGAGAGGGAGGGGGGGGGAGAAGGAAGTCACTTCCACCTGGACCACTGCTTGTCTTTGTCTGTTAAAGGCACATAAATCACGCCCATCAGGGGCTTCATTTTGGTGCTGCCGTCCTCCAACTTGTCGTACTGCTCCAGCATCTGGTTCCCCCCCGCCGGGCCCACGGGCAGGATCAGCCGCCCGCCGGGCTTCAGCTGATCCAGAAGCTGGCAGAGACACAAGGAGTAAGTGTTGTGAGGACACAAAAGGTTTAAATAAGGACAATGTGACCTCCATCATCATCTCTCACAGTATCCATAGAAACTCACGGCCTGGGGGACGTTAGGGGCCGCTGCTCCAACGTGGATGGCATCATAAGGAGCTTCCTCAGGGAGGCCCATCCGCCCGTCTCCCACTGAAACACACAGCGCCATGTTGAGATTGGTATGCTTTACTGATTGCTGTGCTGGCAACTCTTCTATGGGGCTGTTTGTGACTATGCTTTTCATTACTTGTCTAATCTACTGATCATGTTTTCATAAAGCAGGGTAATATAGAGAAGAAAAATCACATGCAACTTTATTCTAATGCATCTAGCTTCCTATTGAGAATACGTTTTTTAAGTTAGAAGTGATGTCTCAAAAACAAAGCAGCTCTTCCGATGCTACTTTTTGACATCAAATAGTTTGTCTTGTGTGCAAAAAAACTAATAATAAGGTAATTTAGGAGAAACCAGCTCGAGTGCGCTAGAATTTGAAAATGCACAGCCGGAAAAAATCTGCCACTTCCTTCAGACTTCCTTACAGAGCCCCTCCTCCAACACACACGAACGTGCACATGACCAATGAGGGCACGAGATAAGTTTGTGCACAGATGGAAGGCTGACAGGCAGGTAGGCCATCCAGTTATTTTAGCCGGGCCGGCTCAGATGATTGGTCGTGCTTTTTACAGTACCACGGCTTCCACAGATGATATTTTTTTATGGGTTTTTGGCAAAGCACTTAAGATATTCATTGCTATCTGGATGTTAAGAGCATTCCATGGAATATAACAAAAAGTGTATCTCGAGCCGGTTTCTCAAACTTACCTACCCCACCTTTAAGTGTAATAAAGTTTTAGCCTGAATCTTTCAATCTGTAAAAAACCCTGCAAGTCTTTTTTCCCTCTACTCTTTTGCTGCCTATTTATAGTTTATTTATTTATGTGTAGGTAATTTACCAACCAATTTAAATGTTAAATTGCAAAGTACACTCAATGTAGAAAGTGTAGCAGCCTTCTAAAAATCTTTAGTAATTTTGCAGAGTTAATGATTAAAATAGCTGGCAATTTATACATAAGGGAAAATACTCGACCGATACTCAACAAATGTTTTCCACCCGCACTGACAATCAGTCATAAATAGTTTTCAAACATAAAAGATAATGACTATTTACTGTCTAGTATTAGCACTACCAGCCTCCTGCAGACAGAGCAGCTGAAAGTGGGCACCGACTACTTAATTATTGAGCACTGCACAGACCCATTTACTGAGCTACGGTTTGTTGTGTCGACACTGAAGAGAAGATAGAAAGCACTGAGGAGCTTTCAATGTCAGCTCAGATTAGTGTTATTGAAATAAGTTCCAAAAGAAAACAGAAACAAAATCCCTTTGACCTTTGATCGAAGACATCTTACCCATTAGCGTGACTCTGCCCGACGTTAGCAAACTGGGGTCATCTTTATTCACATTGTTTACAGAGTCGTCTACCAGCTCCTGGATATGATCGATGCCTATAACTTTCCCTTTAGGACCAACCTGTAAAACAGAGAGGGAGTAACGGGGCTCAGCTCACACAACAACAACACAACAACAACAACAACAATAAACCTCACATTCAGACAAACTCAATCAGAACTCCACCAAAGAGAAATGGTATGTGTTTACCCGTCATGAGTGGCTCACCATTCGTGCGAAGCAGGCGGACAGGATGCCGCTGCCGGAGCCCACGTCCAGAGCTTTGGCCCCGTCGTACAGCTGGTCGTGAAGGAGCTCCAGGGCGTAGGCGTGCTGCGTGGAGGGAGAGGACGTGGAGAGGAAACAGCATCACAACCCGTCAGCCAGCTTTCATCTCACACGAGACGAGGTCAATCCTACACAGTACATCTAGCTGACCAACATCAGCATGAGTCTCTTTCTGTGTTAGCATCATTACAAATATGATTTTTTTTAAATACAATAAAACCAGACAGGTGATTTAAGTAAGCTAACAAGCCAACAATCAACACAAAAATATAAAATGACATATTTGGTTAACTGACATAGTAAAACACAAAATTGGTCGGATTTAGGGCTGGGCAAAAATATATGGATATTCTATCAATATCCTGATATGAGATTTGATTTGGTCTAAGTTTTGGGATATTGTAATTTTGTTTTTAACAGTTTTAAAGGATGCATTACATGAAGGTGGTGTCATTTGATTATTTGTCTTAACCCCCTGAATCATTAAATCCATATTAGTAATGATTATTTATCTAAAATGTTATTGTGTAATGATTTATGAAAATCATACAATATCGTCATGGACACAGGGTAAATATTGCTATTATTTATTCAAATCCATATCGCCCGCCCTAGTTTGATTTGGCACAGAAAGGGAAACTATAAGTAGTATTTCTCTGACTTCCTATCTTCTGAGAGACTGAATGAGAGCAAGGTTTTAAAAAGACCGTTCACAGTTGTTATTCACAGGATGCAGAAATGTCAGAGTGTTTTAAAGTCATACCATGTGTGGGGCGCTGATGGTTGCTTGATAGCCTTTTGGTGAAAAGAAAGATCAGGTTAGTTCATCCCTCTGACAGCAAACTGTGTTCCAGACTGTGCTGAGATGCATGAGTGAACCCAGGGTGTGAGCACACGTACCTATTGACTGCGGCGAGTCCATGTACGGATTACACCTCGAGAAATGACCTCGGTCTGTGGCCAGCATGACTTCATAGACCTTGTCAGACTTAATAATGCCATTTTCTGTGGATGCAAAAAAAGTGTGTCATTGTCTATTAGGGAAACATGAACGAGCTTAAACACCAGGCGGGAATATATTACATAATCTTGCAGCAACTCGAAAGACATAAGAGAAAAATAACATACAGACAGATTGTTTGATATTAGGCATTGCACAACCAATTTCTTTGACTAGTGGATCTTTTTGGGTGTGCAATATAAATATCTTTACCCTGAGAATTAGAGAACTATCAGTGGTGTGTTATTAGAAAATATTTCTTATCCCCATGATTTTTTGTCACTGTGATAATGATGGATGAATTACCCCAAAACACATCTGGCTTTATAACCTTTAATCAATCGTCTCGTTTTATTTTCCAGAAAATGTATTATATACAGATATCAAGGTAGACGACCTAATCCATTCCTGACTCTACATGGTGTGGTAGAAGGAACTAGAAAGGCTCCCTAAAGAAGTTGTGTCTTCAGAGTAATGTACATTGCCTTGTTTTTCATGCTGCTGCCACGCAAACATTTCCCAAATTGGGATCAATAAAGTACCTCTCTCTCTCTCTCTCTCTACCTCTCTCTCTACCTCTCTCTCTATCTATCTACCTACCTATGTCTCTATCAATCAATCTACCTACCTCTCTATCTCTCTACCTATCTATCTAGCAGCTGGTCCCAAAGCAGGAAGAGCCAAGCACAACGGGCGCTTCTCATTCCCCCCCGCTCACTGTCAGAGCATTCTGCTGCATAAGGTTGCATTACAAATAAACCATACAGGCTGCCAGATGGACACAGAGATTTTAGAAATTAAAATAACCCATAGTGTCAGATTTCAAGCAGTTTCCTTCCCAATAAGAATCTTTCTAAGAATTGAAAGTTGTCCTTTGCAACCCCAAGTGAAGTAAACGGACGTAGATGTTGTTTTCGAGGTTATAAACCTGCTAAATAAACATTTTAGAGACATATTTCCTCTTAAGCACATCAGGGTGCTTATATATAGAATTCATGATGCAGACAAGGTTTGAAATCAAATGCAACTGGGTGAAGGATAACTGCCTGCACCGACCAGTCCTGAACACCAGTATTCCGAAGGACACAAAACATGAAAACAGTTGTGAATTAGCATGCATCCTGTGTGTGACCTGCTTAAATCCAGTTCATGCAAACTGAGGGTTAGATTTAAATCATTCATGTGTCTGTTCAGTAAAATGATCTGTTGCAATGCTCTGCTTCACTGCATAGAATATAAATAGCCACTTTATATTGAAAGTGAAATTGATGCTAAAGTCATAACTTTGAACATCATTTTTGCAAGAATTTGATTTGGTGTTTGGTGCATAAACTAGGAAATCGAAATACACAGAAATTACTGCAAAAGTAAACAGAAAACTCTAGTACGTAGGCTACAATCCAACTATTTTTAGAATCGGAGAGCTGTACAGTGTAGGGAAAGATGTGCAAACATATTGATAATGTTGCTATAGGCAAGTTATCATGTCAAATCAGAGCAAGTATTTTAAACACACACTGCACTGTCATCTGACTGAAGAATGTGGCACTGATGGCATCGACCACAGTGGATTCAGCACCAGATAGCAGCAGTCTGGCAGCAGGGTGATACACTGAGTAATGCTCTGTTATTTAGCAGAGCAACAACTGCCACTTTCAATCACTCACTCACAATGGCACTATAGAAACTAGGCTCACTTGACCAGCTGTCAGTGTCATTCGTGTAATACAAAAAGCGGCACATAGATTATAGTAGATAGTATCAATGAATGTGGGCAGGGCTCTTAGCAGCGCTAGCTTCAACAGCTACAACGTTCCAAATGACGCACATAGAGCTAACAGGCTAAGCTAACGTGACACAAAACTGAAGCTGCCCAAATGAACTGTAACTTTAATTAACGTGTGTGTTTACTGTTAATTCGAGCAACGGAATAAGGCGTGAATCCGCTCCACTATAGCATGGTTTGGGAAAGGGGTGGAGAGAAAGGTAACGCGAGGTCAACAACAACATAGCTTAGCAACCATCTAGCTAGCAGCCACTCCTCCTCCTCCTCCTCATGTGCACACGCCTCAAAACTACACCGTTTTTCAGAGAACATTCTACAAAAGCGTCAGTGCAACCACCGTGCAAAACATTAGGACTTACTGCGGAGGTTGTTGACAAGCTCTGCGTGGCTGACTCCTCCAGATTTCCAGGCCATTATTAAACACGCTTTGCGGAGTAAGTAGAGAGCAGCTGTCAGTGCCGCGCCTGCGCCAAATGTTTGTCCGATGAAGCTGACAACCTCCAGAGCAGAGGGCGCGTCACCAGACATCCACAGATATCTCTCCTGATACACACCCTGAAACACAACAGTGGCATTTAAAAATACACTATTCATATTTTATTTATGGTTTTAAATTAAAGCCTCAGCTAAGGTTAAGTGTACAATAAAAAAGAAGGAGCATAGCTTACTCACAATTACATTTGCCGCATAGACGGTGGCCGGTAGGTGGAGTGCGACAACAGTGTATGAGTGCGACACTAGCTAGTGATTTTTTATTTATTTATTTAAAACAATGACAGTATGTAGCTATTGTAAATACGTCTGTTAAAAATTAATAGTAATTAATATCATTTTTCACAATTTATGCAATGGGGGTTCATTTTATTTTATTCATTTTATAATAAAATGTTCTGTTCAGGAAATGATTTATCCATTTTATTTGCTTACATAATTATCATACTATATATTTATAAGTATACAGGATTTTAAACATAAAACGTTTTTTTCTATGTATACTGTTAAAAAAACATTTTTGAAAAGAAAAATAATGATCTAATTGTAATTATATGAAGTTTTTTAAATATGTATTCAATTTCAGAATATTATTAATATTTTATATATTACAGAGAAGCAGGTAAATAGCATGTATTTGCCCCAAACATTGAGAAAATTCGCACAAATGTTTTAAAACGTGTTAATAGTAAATGAGCGAAAAGTCGTCTGATTTTCTGGTTTGAACTTGCCGGGCCACCGTAGCTACGTACAAAGTAGTGAGGCGCGTACGCTCCGGATTTGGTTTTCCCCACGAATGCTAAGCTAACACTAGCAATCGTTCTTTTTTTTATTTAAAGTGTGTGAAACTGTTTCAATGGAGAGTGTAAATGCTAAGTACGTGTCCCAGAAAATCAGTAAAACCAGATGGCGACCCGTATCTCATTCCACTTTGCAGCAACCAGATATCTTTGCGGCTGGCTCCTGGGATAACGAGGTTGGAAAGTTGTCTGTCATATTATGATGCTGCAAACATTAATCGAAATATGTATGAATTCTATGTGGTTTGGGCTTTTTCGCGTGTTACACAGACGCTCAAAACATGACTTAAAACGTGTAATATACCTTAAGGCATGCAGCTAGTGCATAAACACATGTTATATTAGCTGTAGGGATGTCATGTTAGACTTACCACACACTTAAGCCACGCTATTTATTTCTAATTCTTACTAAATTGAAGGAGATACATGGCATAGTGACCAAAACATTTCCTTATTATGATAACTGTCAGTTAGATTATTGTCTATTCTTCTGTGCTTCACATTACAACCTTTTAAAACAAGTTCAAATTGTACATCAATTACTAATGAATGTGTTTTTTTTTATAGGATAACAAGATTTCCTTTTGGTCAATTGTGAATCCTGAAAGCTCTTCATTGGATGATGGATTTGAAGGAGACCCACAGCTTTTATGTGAACACAAGCATGATGGAGATGTTCTGGATCTTCAGGTAAGAAACTCATCTTAATCATTGTTGATACTAAAGAAAAAGAATACTTGTTGATCTGTTAGTCTGAAATGCTAGTCTAACAATTTTTCGAGAAATGCAGATACAACATTTTTTCTCTTCTGATCCCTCGTTCAATAAGACTATTGCTTTGTTTTTCAGTTTTTGGACCAAGACAAAATCGTCACAACATCGTCAACTGGAGCAGTAACCATCTTCCGCCACCACCAAAACAGTCAGGTACGCACCTGCAAAAATGTTTTTCAGATGCAGAAGTGTTTCATGGAGGATGACTATATGTGTGCAATGAAGTGGGTTTTTTCACACTTAAAGGTGGGGTATGTAATTTATTTCAGAAACACTTTTTGTTATATTCCATGGAATGCTCTTAACATCCCGATAGCAATGAATATATTAAATGCTTTGACAGTAAATACATTAAAACATTTCATCTGTGGAACCCATGGTACTGTAAAAAGCACGACCAATCATCTGAGCCGGCCCGGCTAAAGTAACTGGATGGCCTACCTGCCTGTCAGCCTTCCATCTGTGCACAAACTTATCTCGTGCCCTCATTGGTCATGTGCGCGTTCGTGTGTGTTGGAGGAGGGGCTCTGTAAGGAAGTCTGAAGGAAGTGGCAGATTTTTTCCGGCTGTGTACTTTCAAATTCTAGCGCACTCGAGCTGGTTTCTCCAAAATTACCTACACTACCTTTAATGGTTTTTCCTGACTCTTTTAACATACATAACATTAATTATTTTGTACAGTTTTCATTAAATATGTACACAAAAAAGAAAAGAAAGAAAGAAACATTATTTATTTATTATATATATACCCACACAATCCCTTAAATGTATTGCACATGTTAATTGTCTTTCTAAAGCTTTTCAATACATTTACTTTGACTTTTGACTTTTATACATTTTTGTTTTGGCTTTTTCAAATGTCTAAGTCAGTGCATGATAGTCAGCTGTTTATTCTTACCTTAAACCTCCACACTGTGGAGTATTGTATGAAAGTATAAATGGTACAATAACTTGATTTTAGCTAGGGATATCTAAGGGTTAGATTTACCTAGCTTTGTATTTATGAGAGCATTTGCATATTGTGAAAGAGTTACACATCCTCATGTCCTCAAGATGTAATTAATTACTGTAAAAACCTTTGTTTATATCTTAAAGGTCCCCTATTATACTGTTTTTCATCAATATATCACAGGTCTGAGATATATCCAGAACCTGTCTCTGATTGGCTGAAACACCAAACAGATCATTGCAGCATCCCATAATCCCCTCTGTTTCAGCCCTGTTTCCAAAGTACTGATTCTCTGGCCGTTTCTCAATCGCGAGGATGCTGGCTTGGTAGTCGCGTACTTCCAAGTCACTTCCTTCAGAAACGAAGCAAGTATACTTCCAAGCCACGGCTACGGAAAACGAAGAAGAATGGAACAGGCTAACAAGTGTGCCACTCTCTCTAACGGTTTCAACACAAACTGTACCAAAAATAAATACCTCACGATGTCTATCTAATTACGAACTTGCTTTACTTTCACGGAACACATTTTTTGTGATAACAAACAAATGTAACAAAGTAACATATTTACCAACACATGTTCTTCGCCACTACATACTTACATTTAAATGTGTGCTGCGTCGGTTCAGCCATTCTCCGCAAGGGTTTTTGAAATTGGTCCGTGCGCAAAGCATTGTGGGGATTTGAAGGACGCGAAGTCTACCCATGTGCAGCCTCGAAATTACCCCCAAACCAAGGACGCGGCCTCTGTGGAATTCCAAGTATGCTGGAGATTGGAACAGTCCTTCGGCGGCACTCGATGACGTAGCATCCTTGAAATATTGGCTTGGAAGCCAGTTTCCTCGAGATTGAGAAACGGCCTCTGTCGACTCATAGTAAGAACAGGATTTTGGTCTGGTAGATGTAAGTAATACGTGGCGAGTACACACGGTTGACCGAGTTTCA